TTGCTAAGTATTTACACGTGCCAGGGAGGCCAAAATGAATCAGCCTGACGAAGAAAAGTGGGTCATCATACTGCACGTAATCGTATTACCAGGCGGTCAGAAGATGAAGTCTACTATGTTTTGCGATAGCGATGTGAAGCCAGCGAGGCTTTTATCCCAGGATACTAGCAAATTCGTGGTTATAGAAGCAGCGATGCTGTCTCCCTCCGACACAGAGCGAAGTAGGAGAGTTCAGTTCTGAAAACCGCGTATTACGACAGCCCAACAACTGACTCTGACCACCGGCGCATTATTTAATACGGCCGAAATACTTTAAAACTAAAGAGCCCGGTGCTTCTCAAAAGGCACTCGCTTTGCATAGCTCCACTAAGAGTGAGACAGTAATGCCTTACTTCCTGCGTCCTCAGGCCAGACCGCCTTAATTCGATTCTCGAATTTCCCACTAGAAAATCCTAACAACCAGTGTCTCGCGGTTCATACTTTCGATTTAGACGCTAGAGAATTGTCCCCAAACAAAACACTACATCCTCTTACTGCCCTATAGGTCGGGCTTTTGAGTCAAGGGCTCAAGTTGGGATAACTCAACCGATTTGTCTTCTTTGGCCTGAGTAACCGGGAAGTATCATTCGACCTTGCAGCTCTTCACTCACCAGCCTTATCCCACACTCCCTCTTCACTCATCGAACAACACAGTGCGATCAACCCACTTGTCAATCCTCTAACTATCATCCGTATCTAAATATTCGCCCAGAAAAGATAAACAAAAATAGTGACTTACTAACCTAAAAGGATCTGATTCACGCTGCGGCCTTTAATGTTTGTACTGTCATATTGGGCAAGGGGCATTCCTTAATGAAACCTTATTTGCCCTCTCTATCTATGCACGCTGTGTCCTTGAAACACGCACGCAAGATCCTACTTCAGTTGTGCACCTCAAACCGCTTAAGACGAGGCCAGATGTTCCAAATCCCACTCTTTGAGCACTGGGTGATCCTGACGCAATGACTCGTGGCATATATGGCGTAGAACTTGCACTCAGCCCGAAGGCTGAAAGCGCCTTACTGGACTGAATCCGAGTAAACAGACGTCTTTGCGTTCTGCGGTTGTCTGGCTTAATTAATACCAATGAAGCTTGATGCGGTAGACAGTGTTTATTTGTCATATCAGCATACGTTCCGGCAGACTGTATTTCTGGGCCTAAGAAAGACGGGCTTTGGAAAGAGTTGATGCGACTGCCTCACTCAGCAAGAATGGCGGATATAGAAATCAAACACACGCACCAACTAGACCGCGAGACTCGTTTTTTGTCCTACACACTCCAAGCCACATAATCGTGGCTTAATGGACCTTTGAATGTCTTTACCGTCTGGTACGAGTCGAAACAAGCAATGTGCACACACATCGCAAACGTACCCAGATATAAAAAATGAAACAAATTCAGGCAACAACACAACGCACGTTACCCAACTCGATGTCTAGCCGCGCAGATGTTACGACGCGCAATCACATTGCTCACAATAAACGGGCATTCAAATTGGCTCATAACACACACACGCGCACAAAGACTAGGAAGTCAACCAAGTTCCACAAGTCTCCACAGACAACTACAGAACACGTGTAGCAGCTATATGCAGAAGAAATACATCCCACCTCGGTAACTCCACTCAGGAATTCTCAACAGTTGTTCTTAAACGATAAGCCATTTTTGGCTTATTCCAATTTTTGTATTGTATTACCATTTATCAAGGTGCATCTAACAATTGTAATCATCACCGTTCTGGTTAAACAGATATTTATTAGTGCTTTTCACTCTCTGGTAATCAATTTAACTACTTTACAACCAAAGAACCAATAGAATTATTTGGAACATGTGGATATCGGTTACCGATGTAGAGCCTCAGTTAAAGGTTGTCGTTTCTTCTAAGTACGCAACTTGGCTCTGATCATGGCATCGTGTTGGCCCGTATAAGCATTACGCCAAAGGAGAGAAGTTCCGTTCATCAAGTTCGGTAAGTTTCATTGGCTACAGAGTATCAAGCTGATCTGGCTACAAAGCTACTGGAAAGATACAGTCATGCAGATGACGAATATGGCTTTCAGAACTATTGAAACAGGCCATTTGACCCGACTAAATTAACACTAGATATCATCGATATCAGCAGACCTTATTGTTGCCGCGATGGCCATGCGAAAAACTAGAGACTATGATAGCGTATGGAGATCCCCCAAACACCGGATAATCAGGCGCTCAAAGCATGATATAGAACGCTGGTGGAGATTAAAAATAATTTTGCTGAAGACAACAAACTGGTTTAATCAACCGGACAAAAAACAAGTGTTGGTGAGACAATATGCGAAACAGGAAGAACGGCTATTCACTCTCACTCTTCATCCTGAGTGATTGGCTGAGCACTTCAAAGAACAGTTTGGCTGGTCTGCTTCAACAGAAGCGCTGGAAGAGCCAAACGGACTTGAATGGAATTCCAACACCAACCAACTATGAGCAACTAAAATCCAGCTTGAGATATCAATCCTCAAGGGCGGCAAGACATTTAATGGGGATCGTGTGCACCCCACACTGTTAAAAAAAAAGTTGGCAACGTCCATACTGCAGATTTGGAACAAAACAGAATACCAGCCAAAAAGATCTCCTTAACCGTCATCCCGTCTCCAAAAAGGGCAAGAATGTCATGTGAAAACGATCTTGATATCAGCCTGGCATCCGACGCATCTATGGAGCTATCTGGCATTACTTTGCGTAGGTAGTTCAGTTACTGGGTGAGACAGATTCATGAGAGCCAAGCCGGGTTTCACTCTAGTCCAGAATGCATCGAACATGTCTGCATCTTGAGACGAATTCATCAACAGTGTCACTCCTTCAGATATTCCCCGTTGTATGTTTTTCTTGATCTAAAAGCTACCTCTGATTCTGTTCATCGTCAGAAACTTTGAAAGTGTTAGGGTCATGAAAGTATCCCTTCCAAATTTATATCCCTTATGACGGCACTGTATGCGAACTTCAGTGGGTGCATACGGGTATACGGCAGACCTTTCTGCGGGTTCACCACGCCCAGTGGAGTACCACAAGTCTACCGTCTCTCACCTTTCCTCTTCAGCTATCACTGATGTGCTGCTTGAAATTTATCTGTCTGCCTATGGAACCTCGGGAGTCGGAATGTTCCCGAGACGTTAGCTCACAGAACTTGAGTATGTAGATGACATACCTGTCCTTGGCTCATATCTTTTTAAAATGAAAGCCATTTTAAATAACCTAAGCGACCCTGCCACATGGGTTGGCACACGTTTTACAGCTGCAATACTGGGTTGGAGTAAGCCTCATGCTTTCGAGCGAGCCAATCGACGTGGTAGAAACATTTGTTTACACGGGCAGCTTCAAAATTTCCGTTGCAGTGGTGAGAGACGAGATTATTTCTCGAGTTTGGAAGGTTAGGGTAGCCTTTGCCAATCTCCAACACCGATGGCACCGACGTGACATTAGTTTGTCTATCAAGGTCAGAGCTTACACTGAGACGATGTGATCCATACTGCTTTGTGGATCAAAAACATGACATCTACTCGCAGAGGATGTACGAATGTAGTCAGTGTTTGAACACTGGTGTCTCCGGAGCATTGGTCAGGTCTGGTAGGGACAGCCGAATGAGCAATGTTGTGGTATATCAAATGGTCTTAGGAAGAAGGAACTCTTCTGTGGTAGATGAGTTAGTCAAGCTTCACAGGTTACGCTGGTTAGGACATATACTCCACGTGCCAAAAGACCCTCTGCCTCACAGAGCTCTTTTCACCCAGGCATGGGCTGAGTAGAAGCGAGAAAGAGGTGGACAGCGTATGACCTGACTACGAAGTACGAAAACACCAACCGGTAAACTTAGCTGGGTTTACAACTGCCGCGTCCTCGGATGGGACCGCAGGACTCATCACACCAATGGTTAGTGACACTCGCACAAATGATCAAATCGCGCAGCCAATGGCGCTAATGCATCAGAACTATCGCCTTTGTCGCGTAGCTGTCCGATCTTCAAACTAACTGAACAGACTATCGTCTCCGTCGCTTGGCTGTATGTCTCACATTATCTCATTTTCCAGTTATCAGAACTGTAGCAACTGGAACCAATGTGCCTATGGCACACGGTTTCTAGCTGATAAATTGACTGATTGATTATTGACTAACTGACTGAATGACTGACTGAATGATTGACTGATCGATTGATTGATTGATTGATCGATCGATTGATTGATCGATCGATCGATCGATTGATTGATTGATTGATTGATTGATTGATTGATTGATTGATTGATTGATTGATTGATTGATTGATTGATTGATTGATTGATTGATTGATTGATTGATTGATTGATTGATTGATTGATTGATTGATTGATTGATTGATTGATTGATTGATTGATTGATTGATTGATTGATTGATTGATTGATTGATTGATTGATTGATTGATTGATTGATTGATTGATTGATTGATTGATTGATTGATTGATTGATTGATTGATTGATTGATTGATTGATTGATTGATTGATTGATTGATTTACTGGCTGACTGATTGAGCATTTTATGTACTCATATCTGAAAGATACTATCGTAGATGTGGCCGGCAACCAATTCGGAAGCGGCAGTAAAGGGTGGATTATAGCAAGATTATGATTCTGAATACATTTATCGTGTGAAATCTGAAAGGTATCTCTTGAGCTAGATAGTATTACATCAGTACCGCTGTCCTAAGTGAATTTGACATAATCTGACAAAGGGTAGACCCCCGTTTCATCTTGTTTGTGCTCTGCGCCGATCCTATTTAAGGGCTTTTGCAGGTTTCCTGACCATTCTGAAGATTTTCTACCTATTTTTTTAAAAACTACCCTCTCTTCTATTACAGCTTAACACAACACTTTGTCGTGCTATTCGGTAAATGGTGCTACCTATAGTGGTCACCGTCTTTTCAAAGAATACCTTTATATTCACAAGAATCAATGTCACGACAAGCACGCACCCGGTTGTCAACTCCGTCAAAAGAGCACAGTTCCATTTCTATTACTTGTATTCCAAGAAAACCAAGGAAACTTGAGAGCACATATATTAAAAGGGATCATACACCAGATAAGCCTGCAGAACACATCGCCCTGGAGCATATTCAGTCTGTGGACCAAATAAACCTCCGTACCGAGCAGTTTCTTATTGTTCGTGACAAATTACTCGCCAGTCTTTCACGCGTTCGTGAGTTGGAAAAACAAGTCCAAGCAATACCGGTATTAGAGGCCAGAATAGAAGAGTTGAAGTTGCGTCTGTTTAGGCAGATCCACAAACCTCTTTATAAACAATCTTTGGGCTACCCGCCTCTTGAAAATATCACTGTTGAAGCGAATGATCAAATTCTGAAGCCTTACATTGTAGCCAGATCAAGTACTACTTATAAAGCAAAAACAAACCATTCTGTTCCTCCAAAGCCCTTTGGAGATGATGTAGGAACCGATTACGAGTTGACTGATGGGAGGGAAGTAGTCACCCTAGATTCAGATGCGGATTTCAGCACAGTTGCCAGTTACGCGACAACAGAGATTGCGGTTCAGTTTCCATTCACTGAGACAACGGAAAAAAGACGTATTGCACAAAATTTCAGCTCACATGACTGCGTACAACATTTTGTGAATTTATTAGAGACCTACGTTGCCAAAAGTAAGCTGTATCTCAATAAGGGATTCAATAAGGAAAAACTTGATGAATTTACTATCCATTGTAACAATCTTGATTGGAATCAAATTTTGCAAATGCTCCGTATCCTTGATTTGCAATCGCCATCCTTACCCTCCCCACCTCCATTGGATGAGTTCCCTCGGCTGCCAACGAGAGATCCTTGTTGGTGTCTTCATGGTTCACAGTTGAAAAATCTCCCAGGACAAACTGGCCAGCCGTGCAAAGCTGCAAAGACTAATTCCACTAATGGCGACTGTATTCCTATCACTTCACATCATCCAACTCTCTCACCGTCAAGTCTACCACCACACATGTGTAAACTCGGGGGCTTTCAGGCTCGTTTGTCGCGTTCTTATGTGGTTCTGACCGACGTTTTACTCTCGTCGGTTACAATAAATCAGCAACTATACATGGCGTTTGCTTCTCTGCATTACAGACCGCTAACTCTACCAGTCCAACAACGTTTTATCCAGAAGCATCTTTGCTATCTAGTCATCCGTCATACACGACCCATATCTACTGATCGTTTTGTACCACCGTCTACAGTCTCTGTAATATCGCGTTTTGGTTTCCGGCTGCAAGATCGCTCTATGGTAAAGGAACCTTCAGCACAGGCTATCGAAAACAAACTCTTGCATTCTGAACCCTATGAAACCTCGTCCTGGATTGCAACCCGAAATCTCATTTCGACAGCTTTATCCCCAGCCTCAGCCAATCGTAATCTGATATCCAAGGTTAATTCGTCATTTATTTTCCTGCCAGTGTTAGATCGGTTTCATCGTTCACTTACTTACTCAGTCACAGAAACAAAGGAAGAACTGGTTGTGACTGAAACTGAGGAGCTATTCGGTCACTGGTCCCCAACTAGCACACGTATGCTCCAACCACTCTACCGAACGGCACAAACCCTAAGGTCAGTGAAAGGTCTAAATCCAGTTAACTGCAAGCACGTCATGGAGGCATGGACGACCAACAGGCACACAATGCAGACCCAGATGTCAATCAACGAGGGCTTTATTAGTTTATCTGATTTAGAGAAGAGGCATTCTTCACATCCCGATCTAATGGTCAGGCGTAATGAATTTATGTGTCTCCATCGGCAACAATATCCTTTCAGTCACTCCGTTGGTGAAGTGCAACAAAATGATTTGAATGCATCCAGGTAAGCATGATTGGCATCTCTTGTATTGTAGAGAAATTACTGAAGAACTTGTGTTAATGAGTGTATTTCTCAAGCTTCGTGCAAATTGGGTTCATGTGGAGTGTAGGGTTGACGGAATCTCGGGAACTGTGCCTGTCTGGTGAGCCCCCAAAAGGGTGAAACGGGTCGTGGGTTACCTAGGAGTTTTCAGCAACATTAGGAGTGGTATGCTGCGTCGGGTGATTCAGATGTCTGCCTCACAAGTAGAGTGCAAACTGGCAAGAATGAACCGTTACTTCACGGTTCGTCGTAGAACTGAGAATCACAAACTAAACCGAACACTGGCCGAACAGTGAATCTTGAGTAAAAACAACCAGTGAGTTGGGTCACTTTGTGACCACAACCGCACGCACAGAATGCGAGGCCTGGGAAGCGGCCTGGGAACAGTACTCAAGAATATAGAGGAACTGGTTAACAGGATATGCCATTTTTAATCCCACTCCCCTCCTCTGCGAATTGACGCAAGTCACTGTTCGGATGACAACACACTAAAGCTTCCAATAAATCAGTTCAATCGGACGCTGTGTGTTGTCTGTAGGGTTGGAACTGAGAACCACAATGATATCCCGAAGTAGGAACGGTAGTGCAAAGAATGTCTGGTGCAATCACCTTACACATTAAGTTCATATGGCTTGATTAACCCGGTATGGAATAAGGTACTAGCGCTGACATACTGCCCGGTAAATTCAGATTTTCGGATATTTTGGAAAGTCATTCCTTTGGAAATAACCGATGTTAATGTGGCCGATTTTTACAGTGTCCAGTCCCATAACTTTGAGAAAGAACTGTTCGATCCAGAGCAACTACCTTCTCTACCGTTTGCTGAGGCAAATTCCTCTTCCAGCCACTCGAGTACACCTAACACCGCTGATCACACATCTGTTTCTCTGAATAATCACATGGCGAACGATAAAACGCTCACACTTCCCTCGGATCCAAGCAAAGTACAATCCGATCGAAAGGATGTGGACGATGCATGGGTAAAATCAACAATCAGACTAAATTCCCGACTAAACACCCCAACTACATATGATTCCACAACTAGCAAGAGTTCAGAGGAAAATGAAACAAAATCCGAGATATCGAAAGGAAAAATTACTTGGTTGTCCAAACACATTAGATTCGCAAGACGGACTGCTAACCAGCCGACAGAATCACAAGAATGTTTGAAGGACGAAGGCTCAACTGGTAGTCGGATCATCAGTCGCAATTTGCCAAGCAAGATGAAAATGTGGAGTTGTGCAAGCAAGCGACTGTCAGAGAAGCCCAGAAAACTAGATGAACATGTCCCAACTCCAGCTCAGATGGATGCGTGTGGCAAAAAAGAAGAACAGGAGGTGGAAGGTCCGAAGTAAGCTCATCCAAAGATACCAATAAGTAGAGATGCTAGCTGTAGATTTTATCACGAAAGTATATCAAGCCTTTTATGATATACCATGAATGATAGAACTCAGTGAAAGATCGTTCATCTGAGCCATAAACTAGACATAGTAGCGGTAAAACATATCAGATAACATTGGTGATGGTCTAAACATAAAATAGGGCACCGGTAATACAACCGGTAATATTGATGTACACTGAAAAAGTGATTTGGGAACATTCTAACTGTAACCGAATAGTTATCATAATAGGTAGCAACATAAAAACAAACGCTGATTAGTGAGCGGCCCGATAAGTGGCACAATTTGTCTTTGGTAGAAATGTCTTTGGTCGAACAGCCGTTCGATACGGGATAATTTACATCATTTTCAATGGCACGATCAACGTGAATGAGAGTGGAAGTGTCAGTCACACGGTCAGTGAAATTATCGATTTGCCAACTGTTCAAATGAACATGATCTCACAAAATGCACCGAACCCACTTTATTGCAGGAATGATTACATAAACTTGGTTTCCTTGGCCTTTCTGGATGCGTGTCGTACATTTGCGGCCTGGCTGGAAGATTCAACGAACATTACCTCAAAAGTTATGGTATGTGACTCTCTCAACTTTACACGTCTTTGGATAAAAGCCATTGAGCTTAACACTGCAGTTCACCAAAATACTTGGTTCGCCGTCGTATCACCAAGGCCGACTCACGGAAGAAAAGATAGCCCATAATACCATCTGTGATGGTTGATAAACAATATTCTGTAAATTACGATGATAGTAAAAATATAGCTAACTAAGTCCCTCATTTAAGATCTTCTTAATCTGAGTTATCACCCCCTCTTGTCACAGAAGTCCTGAAGAACCGCAACACTATCAGCTCTCAGGGATCGATAACAGTGTCCATGGCTGAGTCGGGCGATTGAGTTGCCAGTATCTCAGTGATTGATAAGTGAACTGTGTTCTTCTGGGAAACTGATGAAAATGCTCCATATGTACCAATTTAACAAGACTTGGCTTTCACGCATTTCCAGAATGAAGCTACAAATACCGTGCGACGTATTTGGTTTGAAGTCACCTCAGGACCCTTATCGACAGGTGAACAGGTGGAAGCCCACATCAATGCACTGCGATCAGTCCCCGGTTGTCCGGTTGATCGGATTGTTAACATGGTGGATCACAAGGTATGTGTCCAAGGTTTGAGAGCAAAACTTCACATGCTGTTTTTGTAAACAGCTAGTTGGTTTGCATACTGCTTGCAAGCAATGATATCCGTCGCCCAGCTGTTCAGTGACCTAGAGTGGAGGCTAGTGGGAGACCAAATATACATTAGATATGTGTGTTCGATGGCCGCTGCTTTGACGTTTGTTGGACACTCCAAAGTTCACCGGTTAGTCTTCAATTGATGCTGATTACTGGTTTGCTGTGGGATTATTCATATGACTCAATAACAAAGATTCGCATCGTTTAAGAATTCCGTTACATTTCATAAAGACTTCATTTTGCAGTGAACATAACCCTTTTTTGAACTGAGGAACCCAACTATAAACAAGGCGATCATTTCGCAGTGAGTAGCTCATCAAGTTTCACATTTGAAAAAAGCGAAAAACTGTACCAATATTTGGACATGTTGAAAACACTTCCAAAGACATTACCAAACTTGCGTTCCCCTATTAAATGTCCATTGGTGATATTTTGGTCTTTACTTTTGCAAACTCCCGCAGCTCATTTTGCGATATTTGTACAGAGTTCACTTTATCTGGCCTGTCCCATGAAGATGAGTTCGGTTTGAGCTTGGCTTCATAGACTTGGTTGGAACTCAACGTTTACAGCGCACAGTTCACCAAAAAGTGTGCACCATACGTTTGCTTCAGTAGCTTCTCTCTAGCCACACTCAAGTCATGATTAATGGAAGCCATTTTCCAAATGGCAGCACCACAACACAGTGGACAAAGAGGAAAAGTTACCGAAAATGACTTCGTTTATAAAGCTGCGTTGGTTTCTGGAAAACAACCTGTTCCCTCTAATTTAGCCTTTCATAATGACAAGATACTGATGCACAAGACTCAAATACGGCAGTGAAGCATCGGTGTTGAACACTGATGTCATGCTGTCGATGATGATGATGATGATGATGATGATGATGATGATGATGATGATGACAAGACTCAAAAAGTTACCATCAGTAAAAGCGTACTAAATACGTGCTGAAGTTCAAGAAACATCCCAAATAGTTGGGTGTTCCAGTGATCCTCTAGAACACTAGCTTCAGCAGTCATCTAAATCATTCGACCTCATGAGTCAGTTGGGTGACCACTTGAAATTGCAGTAGATACATTGATGAAACTGTGTGATATCTTTCTCAGGGAATCTATGGACGTTCTTAAAGTCATTTGCATCATATTTGCGCGAGGATCAGTCAGAACCACAATAAAGTAGGAGGAGTTACAGATCATTCTGACTGTTGGACACGTTCATGTTCGGAATTGGGGGGATGGGCTGCGTGCGTGTTCTTCAGAAACTTCGATTCAAACAAATCAAGACCATCAATCTCTGAAACGCACAGGTATACGGCTTACCGTCTGTCTTACTTACAGAAAACTAATCTAGGACATTTTGTGCCCCCGAATGACACTCGTTCAGTGTCACAAATAAATATCCTTTGGATCGTCAAAATGGTGCATCCGACTTCAGATGTCATAGTAGTTTGTACCTTTATTTAGATCTGTTTTTTGTGAAGCTAAATTATTTTATATTAGGAAAATGATACGCCCCACACAGTTGTTTTTACCAACACTGTGCACATTTCGAGTAAATGAATTTAGTCCATCACAGGTTTCATTGAGTTCAAAAGCTTTCGAACCGGTTACTTCGACCTTTATTGACCATATTCTGTTTGAACGAGTTCTGGGGATACGTGGGTAACCAATCCTATGGTGGAGTGTAAGGCAAGCCGGGATAAAATACGACTGGTGGAATGTTGAGCAAGAAGTGCATCCACTGCTAAACCAACGTGTTCAGCCTTTTCCTTTAAGCACTTAATGTACTTTTAGTCACTGAGCTGACTGCTAAGTTGCTTTTGTTGCCAAGTTAATGGCCTCGAAGATATGGTACTGGGTTATCACCTTGATCCAGATGTGGTCAACCTCCGAAAGTTCAGCCACATGAGGGGTTTTGCTCACGTTGGGCCCCACAGGTTGCAGTTAAGCAGAGGCTCACTGACTCAACTTTCTTCAATAATATCCTGATTGATTAAGCAATCATGCTGAGCAGCCCGGTCCCAGTGCGTCTTCCGATTCTCGTGGAGTGATGCAGCATAGGATCAAAATCACCCACACGGAGTTAAATTATTTAGTCTAGCTGGCCCTTCAAAATCCTTCGACAGTCATTGTGATTTCCTAATCCAGTTGAACTAGGCATCAATGGATTACTTTTCCAAGAGGAGCCATTGGACTTGACTTGTATGCTCCTCTCTTTCCCCTTGACAGTGTCGGAGGTTGAAATGTCAGTCACCAAGCTTTCAAGTAAATCATGGTTGTACGGCAGCGAACCATCGGTGTTGAAGACTGATGTTATGCTGTCGATGATGATGTCTCATTAGGTTAGCGAAGACATCCATTTCAAAACACGTCATCAGTCAACTATTGGTAAATCGGTCTGTTCATTCCTGATCAATTGACACAATACACCTAGTTGACCTGCAGGATCGACTTGGACTATTAGACTAGCCACGGTCAACTTAAATGCCCCAACAGAATCAAACAAATACGTGAAAACAGGCTGCTCGTACGCAAACAAAGCGATTAATTCAATTTGTCATTGGGGTAGGGAATTCCATGCTTTTGTATTACGAAGCCACAATAATCTTGACACTAAGTCCGCTGAAGTGATATCTTTTAGTGGGGCCCGTTTTGTTTTGCTTCCAAAATAACGGGTCGCCGTCTTCCTTATGATGACAACAAGCAAAACTTGCTCCGCGTTGCCAGCCACACCGTCATCTGTCCAAAACTGAAGAACTGTCAGAGAGATCACACCTATTTAGTTTACTTTACGAAAAGATATCGGGGTAGAACGTTAACAACAATAGTCGTTTTCTACAAGCCTATTAAGCGGTTGCTCTATAGATGACAGTAGCCTTCCACTCTGTTGAATTTTTGCCAGTCATCTGAAGTTTAACTCTACTAATCAACGTCACGAATATTCAAGAATGGGTTGGCTGCATCCAAACCACATATTCTGACAGGAACGGTCCAACTACTTATTGTGAAACATTCGGTGTGAGCGTAGTCAGTGGATCAGCTTACTCCACAAATTTAGGCAACTGGCCGATACACGCACCGATTCAAAAAGCCAGGGTAATTCTACTGGTGAATGGGGTGCCGTATGACGGTTGTTGTCATCTGGATGATGATAGAAACTTGATTTGGTCTCACTCAACTCGCACAACCAGACAAAATTCAACCCCCATCTCCATATTGGCCATTTTTTATATCCATTATTTTGCCTTGTAGGCACATCGATTTTGCACTTTTCATGTTTTGGAATTTAGGTAAACCAGATTCATTGAAATATATCGCTTAGGCTGTGTTCCCAGTTCTCATACAGTCAGTACTTAATCAATACATACCATTTTTCCTGTGGTTGTTCAAGTACTTGCACCAGTCCCGATAATGCAGCTGCATTTATTCTCCTTAATATCCACAGTTCTTATAGTCTTCTATGGAGTTCGTCGGTTGTTTCGTGTTTTATTCGGTCGCTAGCTGCTCAGGGGCCATAATCAATGCAAACACCGTGATGCCATAAAAACCATTGCTTTTCAATTATCACGACCAATCGATTGACTGAGTTTATTATTTTGATGCCACGGACAATAAACAGATGACTGAGCATGCTGCTTAAAAACGTTTTGAACTTATGAAATTCATATGTTTATTGAATTTCGGGATTTACAACCGAGAATTCACGAAACTCAAGAATGTCTCAAACCCGCTACCTCTCGGTTGGTAGTTTGAACACTTAACCGTTTGACGACGAACGGCTGCCCAGCAGTCGGACAAGATACAGTAGCACTCATCCTTTGATCACGTGGTCACCTGTTGATTGATTGCTTGTATAATGACTTCTGAGATGGGAGTTTCACTAGTGGAATTATTCTTCCTGTGAGCTACTTATAGATTGTTGGTATTCATTTGGGTATTGTTTCTTTTGCCAGATAGTTTGCTGAGCATAACAGCATGCATGGTAAAAGATATAAATGTGCATAAAGTGAAGCTAGGTGTTGCGGAACGCACAATATATTAGAGACATGTTCCCGTTACCAACACCCTCTAATAAGCAGACCACCCTCCGATTCGTTTTCTCCTTGTTATTTAAAGCGTACAAACCTCATTTAATGTCCTAACACTCGGACCGTCGCACCAAATCTAGTCCACAAAGCCACTGGTGAATACTGAGAACACCTTGTAATCAGACGTGGTTGGAGAACATGATGCCTCAGTGAATGACATAAGAATGGTTTTCTCAGTCACAGTAAACATTTTATCTCTAAGTGAAGTATCGGTCACCACTGTGGATACCTAGGATCGCTCACCTCTCCAGCTGGTCATTCTATTGCAGGGAAACACAGCCGTACATTATGCGGTTAGTCATGCTCGTTGGAGCGTGGTTGGTGCCTTGCTTAAAAACTGTCCAGGACTTGATGTGGACAAGTTTAATCACGCTGGATACACACCCACCATGCTTGCTGCTGTGGTGACTGACCAGGTGAGTGTATTGTCTGAGAGAGTTATTTCACCAATATACTATGATGCACTCATTCTACTGGAAACACGATTAGAATTACTACTTAAAGCCACTTGCTACAAGTAGTAATCTCTCATCTTCTGATTATCAATGAAAACCTCTTTCTTGTGCGAAACCTTAGTGGTTGGCACTCATCACTTACCTTGGGCAAACGGAGACAGAATGTGAGCAATAGTCAGAGTTAGAGAGTCTCTGTCCTCCTACTAAGTTTAAATGCGGTTACGATGAGTAAACTGAATTGCTAAATCTGGGTTATAAGACACGCAGATACAAGAAATTTTGTTGAGCCAGCTACCTAGAAGGCAAAAGCCCTCTCACTTGAAGCCTGTTTTGTGTACTCTTACTCTTATCGCAAACACATCAAAATGCTGAAAATCAAACTGAGCTTTCCACAACAAATAGAAAAGATAGTGCTCATACTTTCCAGTGGCTTTGTTTTGGTTTAGCAGTGATGTAGACCAGATAAGCAATTGGGTGATGTGATGTGAAACAATTGCATTGTATATTGTGACGGAGTGTAGTGATCCCCCTAATGAAGACCTGCACGAAGCAAGGGACTTTCGGCTTCCCTTTGGAAAAAGTCTTCCTTCGGGAGCAATAAATGTGATCCAGAAGCAGTGTAACGAATTGTGGCACACTGCATCGCGGAATTGCACAGCTGTCTTTTACTTAAAAAATATACAGCAGTCTGTGGTTGAGTTTTCCCCCATATACATATATATATATACCTAAATTAGTACAAATCTTTTCTATCCTTTGTGAGTTTTACTTGTCGATTCGACGTTAAGAGCACAAGTTACTCAGTGAACTGAGGAGCATCTCCTAACATCTGTGGTTCCCTGGTTGCTTCTATCCCGCATTTAAAACTTCAGTTATCCTTATACCATTCATAAGGTGAGGGCTGATAATTGCGAAGAGCATAAACCAGTGTTACAAACTCAAAATAATGTGCATAATCCCCCTGGAAATCCCCCACAGTCGCAGTTTTCATTCGCGCGCAAGCCTATGTCTTAGGTGAAGGTAGCCGCATATCACTGATAATATCGCATTTTGTTTCACTCACTTCTATAAGGATACCGTCCTACGTAGAACTGGATGGTATATTGTCACACAATGAATCAACGCTGAAAGATCAGTCATGTCTTGCCTAGCACCCTAACTGTTCGAGACGTTATTCATCAAAGCATGAATATGTTATGATAAGCCAATTTCACATGATGAGTATTGCCCTTATCTGATTTCTTGCTGCCCATCGAGGTTTGAGCGAGAGCTAAACAGCAAGCTTGCCGTGTCGAATTCAAAAAAAAATTACCTATGATTTCAAGTCCAGAACAGTGAAGAGTTAGCTTGTTCCTCATAACCCATGTCATTCAGGACTGTCATTTGATCTGTGAAACCGTTGGGTTTGCTGTACTCTTGTTGATTAGCACATTCCTAACCTTCCTTAGAGAGTATACTTATTTTCCTCTATATAACGAGAATTTTCTAGAATGCAAGCGAGTGATGTTTGATGTGTCTTCATCAGTAGAGCTATCCCTCTTCCCAAAGGTTCCTGTTAGAAGGATTGCTGTATGTACAGTCTATTTCATTTGTCTACTTCCCTGCAGCCGTCCAATGCAGATGATATGGATTCGCTTAACCTACTGTTGTCCCGGGCTAAACTTTCGCTTGTCTCAGCTACTTCGCAAAAGCAATCAGTCCTTATGTTGGCCGCAATTCATGGTCGCGTAGCTCTAGTGCACCGGTTGCTACAAGTACATCATGCTCCCATCAACCAACCAGACGCAGAGGGAAGTACCGCACTGATGGCTGCAGCAGAACATAACCGCTCCAATGTGGTTAGACTTATTTTATCTCAACCGGATGTGAATGCAGAGGCGAGAGACAATGTACGTATTGGTGATATTTTGTTTTATAGAAACTTTAGCTTGCACAAAGCCCCTTAAGGAAAACTTATGGGAACCTTAGTACTGGCTCCAACGAACGAATAAAAACTCGCCTCAAGATGACGTCTAGCTTAGTTGGTGAGCGTGATGGTCTTTTACAACTATAGCAGGCTCCGTGTCCCTCTGAATATATGGATAGCTGTAGGACTTGATGAATTGGCTCAGCTTGATGGAAATTGAACAGTTGTGCTTGCTGTGACGACAATGCGACCGTTGGTCATGGCCACACAGGAGATACTAACATGATAAGGCGATAAGACGTGATAAGGCATATCATTGCTGAGCCCAGGGCAGCTGACTGGGATTCAACTTCAGATAACCTAGAAGACGCGTGTGAATTGTTGAAACATTCCTACCTCACACTACCTAATACTGCGCTGTCGCTGACTGTCAGTTTACTCATTCGTATTGTTCGAGAATTCTCGGCGTTCAACTCACTGCCCAGCTTCATTGAATTATTGATGTGCAATCGCGTTCCTTTGTGATAGACACATCAAACCGACGGAACAATGCTCCCCTTAATGTAGTTAGTTCCGATTTCACAGTTTCTCAATAGTACCCAACAGTCATAAAAGACTTTTACGGTTAAACTAACTGTTGGAGAATTGGTTTTCCATTCCATCCAGTGTACCGGTGTGCTACGACGCCCAAGTCTGTCAGTTAGAAGAGGATAAGACCGCTGCGAGGACCAATACTACTGTTGCTTCCGTAATGAGAAAAAGCGTGAGCTATACACCCCATGACTGAATTAGGGGGGCACGCGCTTTCCTACCACTGTTCTGCTCGTAGTAGATGGATATGAACGGTTTTTGTTCGGAAGCCACAGGTCCCATTGGAGAGCAGATCTAGATGCTACAATAATATTACACTAACTAAAGTGGTGACACCGTCTCGTCGGAACATTTGATGTCATTCTCCGAACGCTTTGTTGTGAAACCTCTCCAAACAATTTTGCTAAGCTTTTAACTATTGTGTGGATGACATTGTCTGGTTAACTACCAGAAGGCCGGTTAAGCCATCAACTGGCACGGAAATGACATAAAGATAAAACACCAGCGCAACAAGATGGAAAACAACATAATACACCATTTATCGAATTCCATACAGTCACATTTTTACTAAATGCGTGTCCATAGAAGAATTACCTTCGTTGGAGTCCGGAAAATCAACACAAAAACGACCGGCTAAGAGGACAAGCATGAAAACAGTTTGCCAGTTCACTTGTGCCCGTCTCGATCCAACACAAACAGGGTGAATGAGTTTTTTCCGCATTCGCTGTAGTTGGGGTGACTAATTTAATCAAACCCTTGTTTCCGTACCTGGAATACATAAAGACAGTAGACCTGTCGTCAACAAAGAGGAAGGGACCTAGGAGGCACACCGCATTTGCTATCCCCCTCGGAAGGGTACACCTTACGCCAAGAAGAAAATTTGATATGCCCGGCGAAAAAGGGATTGGTCAAGCTCAAATGGCGATAATTTGTAGAAACGCTTCGGAATCTAAACGAGGCAACTTGATGTTAGTTTCACGTTCATTTTAAATTTGATTTTACATACTACATCTGTCTACTGCTGGAAGCTGTAGACACCCATCGTAAGTCCTCCATTTAGATTTTCCCGTGGGTTCGCTCATTCGTTGTTCAGCCGTAACACTTGGTGCCCAGTTGCCACGCTACCCGAAGGAAGCACAAGGGCTGAGACACTGCCAAATTGCCCATGTCTAGATAGGAGTGGTGATGTTGAGATTGGGCTCGAACCACAAAACTTACGGTTGGCAAGTTGGCACCCTAATCACTAAGCTAATTCGAGCTCCATCGGGTGATTTCTAATGGTGAGCTTGAGTGTACTTGTTGTACTGATATATACAAGTTTACGCGGAACTAGTTTGTTATAACATTTCATCGGCCGGTAGCTGGGATATGACCCCTATGCCTCAAAGAATTACAGTGCTTACATATGGCATTCACTGTCTGTATTCCACCTCCACTGACTTCCCTTATTAGGATGGCTGTACTGCACTGGACATCGCGCTGGCGCGTAGACACCACGAAATTGCGTTAATGATCTACGCCAAAGTAAAGATGAAGAAGCTGGTTCCGACACAAGCAGTAAGTAGTCGCCATATGTGGAAAATACTGCGTCATTTTCTGACCAAAATTTACTCAACATTTCGAAAAGTCCCGAAGAACATCCACATGTGACCGGCGTAAAAAAAACACCGAATTTCCGTCTAACTTTATGCATGGCACAACAGTCACGTCGAAGTTCAGGACACTCCAAATGCCGCTAGTTAGGAAACTTAATCGATATAGGAAGGGGAATTACGATTTAATGTGACCAAATTTTTATAGTATACTACTATACTATACTATTATACTATTATTATTGTTATATTATATATATATATATTATATTATCACTATATTGTTATATTATATACGTACATATATTATATATATTATGTATATTATATACGTATACCATGTTACTTTATTATTATTAGACTGCATTATTTTATACTATATGTTGGCTGAGTTCTCTCAGCACCGTAAGATCCGTCCTAGTTGTGAATATATACACTGCGCCTAACTGTTCCCCCATCGAGTTAGGAAGGTTCCGGACTTGTTCCTCTAAATCTGGTCTAATAGAGAGGCTGTGCACATTCTTGGTTTGTGTTGACCTCAACGACATTATTATTTCTTTTACAAGGGCGTTTGGGTCGATAAACATGGCAAACTTCACAACTAGAAGCCAAGCTAGTCTTGACCATTTTTACCAGCGAAGCTGCCTTGGATGCCTGAATACGCAGCGTCTCTTTAATTAAGTCCTAATGATAAAACACCCGAACCTTGCCTAAAGTCTACTCCGAATAGTAGTGTCAAACAATAATTCATGCTCACAGGCGTCCAACCCGAGGGCGCATTCTGATCACATACTCCCCGGACCATCTTCGACAAGTGGTCGAAGCCGTGGACTTCATTGTTTTCGAAAATGCTAACCTGCCTGATGTTTTCTTGGTACCGGGAGTTCTGCCTGGGTTGTCCGCAGGAAATCCCGTATATTGTCCTGGTGATGCATCAAAATTCCGTCCGATTTTGTGCACTTCTGTTTTGTTCAGTGCCTTTGGTGATGTACATCAGTTTGCGAACAAGACGCGTAGATATATAACGGATGAAGTAATTGCCTCAATAGTGAGGGCTTTCGGCGTCAGAAAAGGTGTTTCCGGGTGTTTTTTTGTGGAATTTAACGGTGTTCTCAATCTAGTCTACCGAAAACTCCCGGTGCGTGAAGTTTTAGTGATGGATACCGAATGATCCCTTATGTTCGTCTTAGACAGCTACTTTAGAAACCGAAAACGGGATGTTGGATTGGCGTCAATTTGACGAAGACCCTATCAATGAGTCTGACATACATCAGGAAGCCGTTGTGTACCGTTCTTACTCAGACTGCAGACTCTTCGAGACTTGACGAAAAGTGCACTTTATTAAAATAGACAGACGACACCGTTGTTACAGCACTATCAGACTCCTGCTTGTTTAAACAGGATATTAAAGTAGTACTTCAGTGGACATAAGATATCACACTACAGCTAAAGCCATCCAAAGGTACCTAGACTGCGTTCCTTCCTGGGTGGGGTAGACACATTGGGGCTACCTAGCCTAAGGTGACTCAAAATACTATCAACGGCCGTCCACTAACTCCAGCTAATTATATGAGCTGCCTTGGCGTTACTATCTACTCTGGCTTGATACAGCATGAACATACTGGCAAGGTATTTCTCAACTTTGGGAGACCTTGTTTCATAAGACAACTTCGTTCCCTAAATGACGCCATATCGGCTATCCTGAATTTTACGCTTGCCACCACTCTATCTGTTGTTTTAGACTGTCCGACCGTCGTTTCCAGTAGACTGCTGAAATAGAGTCACCTTAAAAAACGGTGCATTTAGCCTTTATCACCTGGTAACACTCCCCTCAGTATTCCGGTAGATTGCTTAGTTGACTCGCACGAATCTTAGTAAAAATAGTTCTATGAAACATCTGATGAGATTTCTGTACGATTACACTCAGATATGAGATATGCCTCTCAAGGCATCTAGTGCACAACAGTGGTGCACACCTATACACAACAGCATATTCAAACAAAATCTGCGGTTTCTTGTCTCGCCGCCCCACTGACCTTCAGAGCCGAACTATTAGAACCAATACTCACAAATTCGTAATGCACTGCTCGTATGGTTGCTGAAAATTTGTCGGCAGCTCACGACTGGTTTCGCCCTTCTTGGGGCTTTTCAGGTAGGCGCGGTCTCCGANAGGGCGAAATCAGTCGTGGGCCGTCGACGGATTTTCAGCAACCTTATGAATAGTGCATTACGAATATAAATGTATCGCGATATCTCAAACATCGTAGTGACCGAAACATGAAGCGGCCTGGTGCAGCACATTCACATCACAAACGAGATTCAGCTAGGTTCCAGGTGAGTCGCTCGCAAAACCAAACTAGTATGCAAATGAGTGTATTTCGCCAATACTCACATAATTCGTTCTCTGTTGCAAAGCGTCATCATTCCGCTAAGTCCCTTCTGTTTATTCTTCAGGTTACCAGTTGCCCTTTTCGCATACATACTGTTCATATTCCCATACGCTTCCGTATCCCGCCAAGGCGGTTGCTCGAAAATTCATCATCAACAAATAATAAGGAAAATCCCTTGCTTTGCCTTGTGTTTGTGCTTCGTTAACGACCAGCACAGCTTCAAGCGTTTGCCTAAACACAATCTTTACATCGATAGCGTGTTACATGTCCGAATCGCGCTGTGCATCATCAGCAGTATCCCAAGTCAAACAATATTGTTCCTTCCTATCTGGGATGAATAGGCTGGTGACAACGATGCATTACACACAGTGGGAAGACTAAAAAAGCACAGCACTCGGGTCATTTCCAGTTAAAACGGTTCCAACGTTAAGTGAGTTTGAGTTACAGTTTATCCCATTCTACTTTCAGGCACTTTGAAGTTATTCCCCATTCAAGCCTGTTGATCTCACGACAGGCGCAAACAAGCCACGAATGATCGTGGGTTTTCATCTCGTTTTTCAGGTCCCTGAACACAAAACGGTTGTAAAACTCGAATTTCGGCTCTCCAATGATTTGATTCGAAAACAGCGCCCGACCGGTGGTTATCAAACTCGTCCCGAGAGCCCGCAATACAGAACAATACCTGCCGACGGAATTTGTCAACATACTAATCTGAGGCTTTGTCGGAATAACATGTACATCATATATGTGAATATAGATTATGCTTCTCTTGGTTCTCGAATTTCGACCCGAGTGTTTTCCGGACGGAATATGTGCTGCTTCGTAGCAAATGTGAGAACAGTATTCTAGAGCAGCTTCTGGATCATAAGGTATAAAGATATGACAAAATAACACTAATCATTGAATGCGTCACTTACGAACTTCAGTCTAGAGCTTATTGCTTGGTATAGCTGCTGTAAAGTAAAGTGAGGCAATCATCACGTGTGATCGTTCTGGGAAGCTATAGTCGACCAAACTGGGGTTACACATCCCAACCGGTATTCTATACCAAACTACTGTGCACTAATATACCATCTCCCTTTGAAACATCGGAAGACCTTAAGTTCAGCCCACCACAGCCAGATTTCGAAAGGTCGAATTTGTTCAGCTGCTACCAACGCTTAAGATTCGCAATATCCCAAGTAGTTGAACAACCACAACAGAAATACATATGATTAACCCCTGTAAAATCCACACAGACTATCCCGAGACCGAATAGAATGAACGCCTCGTACTGGAGTGATTCAGGCGTGTGGCCACAGTGACCTCCACGAAGGGAGTTGTTAATCCGTATGACTTATAAAACAATGTGAAACATTTTAAAAAATATAGATTAACTGACTAAGTGTATATACATCTGTGAATAACTGAGTGAGCAGGGTTGTTTTCAAGTTAAAACATCATGACCAGAATCGGTAATGAGTACAGTGTTTTCAAACTGCGCCGTCAGACTGCGATTCAAGGTGACCACAGTCCAACCGTCGTCTAACACAACTGGGTGAACTGGAGAAAGACAGTATCTGTTCCTCCGTCCACCTGTGGATTTGGATAACGCAAGGCACGGTTCAATAGTAAACACATGGCCAGATTTCATGTATCCGAGTGTTCCAGTGTCTGTTGACTGCAATTCGTTCACCGAGTGTATAATTTCCGGTGGGCCATGGAGGAAGTCTGCTAGACCGTGTCCACGGATTCCAGGGACGACAGAACACCCATACAGGTCAGCAACCTTACATATGCTTGTCGCGATTTCTGCATAGGGCGTACCAGGTGAACAAATACGTGTGCCAGCAGCGCAGCAATTTTCGGCAACTGCACAGAGGAAACGAGCGGAATCAGTTTCGGGGTCATATTTACTTGGATCTGAGTGAAGCACATCCACTTGGTCCGATGTGTCACTCAAAACGTAGCTACGGCAAGCGTCGCCATGAACCGTGCCAGTGAAAATGGAAATGTCAACTGACAACAAATCTCCAGCTCGCAGTGACTGTTCTACGGAGGGGATACCATGGCACGCTACCTCATTGACCGATGTACAGACAGACCTGTGAAAGTTAAGAAAACATGCTACGTCATATGTTGGGCAGAAAAAAGACAGAACGCACATGCGAGAAACTTCTAATTGAGGGTAAATAGAAAAGACAGCAGTACTATTCACCTGGACTATGTAATTTTGCCATTTCACGAGAAAAACAGCATACGATATGGTTTTCTAGACTCATTTAGGCGTCCGAAAGCATCAAATAAAAGCTCTAGTTTGCATGAAATGAGAAAAACTTTCACAGGTACTTGGCTTCTCAAACTTCTTCAGTAAGTTTTTATCCTCGTAATGCGCTATTTGTCGTACGACCAACGAACTCATGCTAGCCTTTAATAGTATGATAAGATAGTATGATAAGAGCAGTGACATTTTGTCACGACGACTGGAACGCTTGTTGTAAAACTTTTGAACCAACATTTGTGGGTTTCCCCATCAGTTCCGATACCTTATCTCTAGCGGTTAAGTATGTGAGTGAAAATCGACGGCAACCTCAGAGTAATCTGCACCAGGTGTCGTGCCTTAGTTCGCAGAAGTATTTCCTGCTTGACCATATCATCGCCATCCTTTGTAGAATGCTGCACCGGACAATTTCACTGTAGCGGCAGTCCCCGTATGCATTGATGCACTATTTAGTACGCAAACAATAAACCCGACTGAGTGTGTTACAGTCGTTACGCTGATGATTATAGTGCACAATTAAGACAGTGGACTTGTGACATGGAGGACAACCACCGACGTCTGTGTCCTGTAGTGAGCTTACCGAGCTCCTCAACTGCTTTACTGGCATGATTAAAATCGGAAAATCTACTCACTGACACAAACACATTGCTGAGTTTAACATAGTGATTAGAACATAACAAGATACAAAGTTGAGGACGGTGTTGCTTACACGAATGATAAAGATCAGAACCAGGCAGTGGTGACCAACTTGAACATAAAATTACTGATGTAATTTGGCCGGTTCCTGCCATTCTTTAGGGCATTTCTATAGGAAGTTTCTCTGAAATAAGATGCAGGCGGTAGTCGCAGTATCACTGGATTGTTTTCCAAGTGTATGCCACTGGCTCTTGTAAACGCAAATGTACTCAGACAGCCAAAAGGGGTCACACATTCTGAATGTCCATACATTGACAGCTGATCGTCATGAGTGTAGGTGTTGAATCGAACATGACATCATGGTAATTCCCCCATCTATTTTCTCACTCTGCCCGTGTACTTTCGATCTCTCGTTTTGCTCCTTTGCACCCGCCATTCGCATTGCCGCTAAGGCCGCCCGTCCACTGATTGTATACTGGCATGAGCGTGTACGCTACTGACCCTGTCCGTGTCTGTGCTTCGACTGCTGGGCTTGCCCTGATTTGCTCTGTCGTGACTGCATTCTAGGCACACAAGACACATTTAGGACTACCAAATTCTCTTACAGAAACATTGGCAATAGATAGAGACCGGTTCACAACATGGGAGTGATTGCAAGAACAGACACAACTTACTTCGGAAAACCACAGTATCCCAAAGGAGAGGGGTACACATGTTTGGCAATGCAGGCTGCGAAGATGAAATTATCCACATCTTGAGTTGTCAGTCCAGGTTTGAGAAACTGTCGCAGCTCCTCAAATAATTGGTGGACAATTGATCCAGCATGTCTTAGCTGTTCTATGCTCTCAAAAGAATGGATGATTGGTACATTTGGTACAGTGGCTTTTTGGTTCAGTACATAGGGAGGAGGGATAATAGATGACGGGATGTCTCGACCGCACAGTTTTAGGGTGCGAGCAAATGGGTGAAATCTACACGAAGGCAGTCGGTGAAGCAGACAGAGTTTCTGAGAAAGAAAAAAAACAACCGGTAGAAACGAGGGGTAGGTTTAAGATGAAGCGAGAGATTGCAGTGTTAGAGACAATCGACATGTCGGTATATCCTAGAACAATGACACACTCAGTCGGCCGGTCTGTTCACAAACCTTGGTTTGGTTGCTTCAACGTTACGAGCGATGACCACGCATGCACCGAAAGTGGCGGCTAAAAATTCGCCTCATAAGTCAGCATCATCCTCATAGATAGAAAGGTCAGAATTGACACTGATACTTCACTACCTTATGAGCATAAAGTTTATTCAATTTAACAGCGAACAGCAGTTAACCATCATTGCTTGCAGCATATCGGTCAAAGGCAGTCACAAAAACATCCTCGTATGCGGACCGCAGCAGCAACGATAAACTTCTCGTAAGGAACGTAAGCACCATAAGCGGTTTGTGCGAAACCAAATGTACTGTCATGCGCAAGCCACTGATACCAATGTAAACCAGAAGAAATAAACATGCCATCCTAAGCACGACTAAACACTAGAGGAACTTTTTTAAACCAATGCGCTGGCGTCATCCACCAGTCTCTCCCCCCCCCAAGTTTTTTTAGGTTGCTACGATCCTCTCATGAACTGCCATAACAGTGCCTTTAAGTGGATTTCCGTTGCCGCCCCATTTAGGATGGCTACTGGGATCGTCATTCCCTAATAAGACAACAGATTCGAGAAAACGTTGGTTAGGAAGGGGGAATAGCCCGGATTGGGTAACCAACAGATACTTTCGTGGGCAGGTTAACATCAGAAAGCTGGTGACCGGTGTGTCAGGTCCCACAAATGATACAACCCGGCCTGCGGGTTCATCTACCGTATCAGGGAAGTTGATGGACGTGCTTACAGGTCTAAAGCTTACACCTCTGAGATTTGGAAGGTCATTTTTAGTGCTGATTGGTACTTCAGATCTACGGAATATCTCCTTGTTCCCAAATAAGTTCGCACAACCCGGTACATTCATCACTGTTTTTTACTAACACCACGAGCTCATTCGAACTTCAAACGATAAAGACACTAGTACTCCAGAAACTGGTTAGGCTAAAACCTCACGGATTGCTGCTCGAGATAATCCGGTCGAATGGAGGACATAGATAAGAGAGTAGGTAGGAAAATCAACTGTTGTTTGCTATATTCACCCAATCGATCTGGATGCTGACATTCCTAATATTTTCCCTAACTACGCCACGGAACTTAGAACTGAAAATCGGTCTAAATGTCTTTTAACAAAACTAACTTGCATTTTTTTTAACTTTCGCTATGTCCACACAGGCTTCGCTTGAACTGATTTCTAAATTACCGTCCAGTTGAGTTATTCTCCAAGCCCAAAAGGATACACAGTCACGCGTCAAAAAGTGACAGTGGCCGGACATTCAGTTTTTGGTATCACACATAGCTGTGGCTACCTCACCCCAGTTACAATCGGCACCTCCATGACCGCTTATAAGGAACCGTATGGCAAACCTCGGTGAATTTCTTTAATTCGAGGTTCGAAATGATATCCTGCTGCCGAATTGAGAGTATATTTTCTCAGAATGACAGGAGGACTTAGTGAAAATCCACACCGCACGAGAATATGGTCTGAATTAATCTGCGTAGTTAGTTCAGGAGTACGTCTCACCATCGGTACCTGATGTCCATGTGGTTAATTTGGTTCCAAGGCCGCTTAGCAGTAGGCCACCATGTATCAAAGCGGTATACATCGGATCTGAACGAAGCACCGGTCACAGGTACAGTGGCGAAAGGCACTCATCCCTACCATGACTTTGGCACCAACACCAAACACGTTAACAGGATCGAGGTATTGGAAGTTCTAGGTAGCGCGACAATATCGAAACTCTTCGTTGTGGACAAGAGGGTGAGATATTCCCGGTGGGAAGCGTCATTCGCTAAATCAGTTACAGTGCTTACCTGGTTACTACAAATACAGGGGCATTAGTATCCCTACCAGTGCGAATTCATATGCACGTTTACAGTCGTACAGCAGGGTCGGTGGTTTTCTTATTTGCAATCGAGCACGGAATTATCCGCTCGCTAGCTGGGCGCTATACCAACGTCGGTGCAGCAAAGTAAATAGTAATGGAGAAATACGGAAGGCGCCAGTAGTCAATTATCTGCTCTCCAGAAAACTGCAAGGTTAGGTACGGATTCAGATCTTACCGAAACACCTAAACCTAGACAGGAGAAAGACCAGGATCTGCAACCAAAGCCATTGACTCGGAAGGCTGACCAAATTAGTCATGGTTGGTGCGCGGCCTTATGAGTAGTCTGACTTTTGAGAAACAAGTCGCTTCACATGTTCCCATCCCGGAGGGTTTGCAGGCTACGTGTCAGACCTCTGTACATTGACCAACCTGCTGGGAGACTATGGAATTTAAATTGGCATGCCCTAGTAAAACCCAACAGGCAGTTGGGATGAGTAAACATTCAGGGAAAACACAAAAAGGGCAGGGATGGCTCAGCGGCTAAGGCTCGGAATTACTGATCGGAAGGTGCATGGCTCGAATTCAACCTCGAGTGCTCCTATCTAGACTTGAGCAACCTTGTAGTATCCTAGGCCTCGTGCTTCTTTCAAGCCACATGGCAGAAAGGCACCGGAAGGGTGCTACGGATGGAAGACCACTTTACTACTTTCATAAAGGTATTTGACTGCGTGACTGAAGATCTGTTCACCATGCTTGGAAATAAGCACACAAACCCTTCGTCACCAGTCGAGAAGTCATGAGTGCCCGGTTAAGTGGGTTAGTCTGTTTATAATGCGACTTGAGGGTACCAATACTGAGTGGTGAGTAATGACGTACTGCTCTAAAGCGGATGAAACACCTAACCATTCTGTTTATTGGCTATATATCGTATTTGAAGAATACGCCTGAGGAAGGAAAAGCATTAGGTAGCCCCCGGGTTGATAGGCAGAGGGTCAGCAGTCTGTAGATCGCAAACGGCGCTGAGCCACCTAAGCTACGGAACAAAAACGTGAATTCGGATTTTGGACTGAACCAGATCATTGGTTGACGAGGTGGACTTCCCTTATTAACAGGATCTTGGTACGCATCGTCAAAGAAAAGCACCACGAACAACTGATCGCTGTGTAACCTCGAGATCCCTGAGTTACTAACAAACAAATCAGCCATTCCCTTTTTACTAATGGTCTGTTGAAATATTTCGACCCGTCAACCCAACACATCGATGATTCTCGACTATAAACAACAAATTCTGCAGCACATCAAGCAATGCCTTGGAGTACAGCTGGTCACCTTAGACAAAACATATCGTTCAAGACAATTCATGTCCCTAGCTCAGAGTTCAACGTAGCAGTCACAATCAGATTTCGCCTTTGACATACTGGAAGTCAACAGACAAGTGGTCTAACGTAACGTTTACATACTTTATTTCGAATAGTGATAAAACGTCTGCAAGCTCGGCGAACAGATCAACAGCCACCTAATCAAAAACCAATAAGTTCACCCGAGCTACCAACGTTTTGACACATTATCCATCTTGTTTTTGAGACAATCTTGGATCGACCGCTCAAGAGCTCGTCTGGACTCAACATTGCCAGGCTTTTACTCCTCCGAAGCTCCGTTTGGGTCTTCCTGAATCCATCCTAACAATTTTATTTGCCCGATCAACGGTTCCAGAGTTGAACCAGCTAGCGGTACCAGATGATATCGATATCATAAAACTGCCTCCACAAATACTCAAGTAGAACTGCAATGTCTACACGATCAACTTTAGGACAATTCAAATCAAATGACTGAACCTAATGTGGTAGGGGACAAATTCGATAGACCCATGATAAACCTTCCGGAATTTGATGGCAAATAATCATGTGGCAAAGAGTGACCAGTGAATTCTGTAGTTTTTTTCGCTTCTAAGGGTTTTTGTCTAAAGCTCGTGAATGAGATTAGTCTTGTCTCATAAGACTCAGTCTATCCACAGACGACTCAATCCGTCTAGTCATAGATCACGACTCAAGGATACGTCAACCATGGGTTTTAATTTGAGATTTCCAAGGGGTGTAAATTCCTGAGGATGACAAGGAGTTCATTTCGTCGTAGAGGTTTCACCCAAAGACGTGGGTGCTACAGAGTACGCACGGGTCCACAATAAAATTACGTGCATGTAGCTTTGAGAAAGCACTCAACAATGCAATTCCGCTAAGTTCTTTAATGGACGTATAGTTCATGGAGAGAGGCGATTCGTTAGAGATTTCATGGGAACAAGAAGTGTCAGTTCAGCTAGTCGGTGCATCGCACCGGGTGCTCACAATCACTGAAACTCCGGGTTGGGACCGACTAGCGGGCAGGCTAATAAACACATGTCAATTAAGTCACTACAATGAACAAAGGTCACCAGGATCTTGGGTAAAAGTACTGTGACTGGAGACAATACACTGCCGCCATCATCGAAGTAAGGTGAGACTCGCTAAGGTCCACCTCGTCTAGCATCGAGAGAATATATCTGATGAACATCTCCGGTTGCTGCTCCTTTCAGGCTATAACAGAAAATTCCATCGACAAATTTACAGCGTACCCATCGAAAGCCTGCTTACATCATGGAAGAAATCAAAATCATGTCTGTCCATATAGAAATCGCATACGTGTACACGTAATGTTGCCGATATGTTTGCTGTATCAGACGATGAATGAACAACGCAATTAATTAGGATACTGAGTTGACGATAAAGAATTAGGAGTGGGATCCTTTGTATTTCCTGGATCTCAAGATAGAGACTGAGATCGATCACTCGGGCTCTGGACAGAACAGTAACCCGCTTCTAAAACTCTCCCCAAAATGTACAGAGAAATCGAAAAATGACATGAAGTGAGGTCCCTGAGAACAGCTTAAAGGGGAACAGCATGGTAGACTGGTGCAACAGCGAGTGAAAGGAACTGACAGTGCTAAACAAAACCAAGTACTAAAAGAAAACAGATCAGGCAAATCAGCCTCTTCGGATTATCTTCACACGTGTTTGTCTTCTCCGATGCGCTTTCGGTAGTGAGGTTATCGGGAAAATTGAGTAACGGTTATCGAGGAGGATAGCTGGACACCTCGCAAAGAACTTAGCGAATCGTGGATCAAAAATTCCGTTCATCCCAATCGTTCGCCGCTAGTTGGACGGTGACGAATGCAAACGAATTACGCAATCGTTCAGGGCCACGGACTAGCAAACGAAAACCGTCTGTTATGATTTGCTGAGCAGCAGTGACTCGCTACTCTAAAACCTAAATGTGTAAGCAAATGGAATTCGTGGTCAGCTTGGGCAAGTCAGGTAATAAATCATGTCTATAGCCCCAGCATGTTTAACAAGCCAGATAAGAGCTCTGGTGATTTTGGTTCAAGGTAGCAATTTTACCGGCCTCTGTAAGTTTACCTCTCTGGAGATGTGTCCGTCTCATACCCTGAACCCGGTTTTGAATATTCGTACACAACTGACGCACTACGCGAAATCGTCACATCTGGTCTACAACGGAATAATCAGACGACTGTCCCTAGCGATCAAATCGTGGACCTGGGGCTTTTAAAACACTCACAACAAAGAAATGGTCAGGGCCGAGCAACAGAATGAGCTGAATGGACTACACGAGTACGCTTGTATTATTCTTAGCCTGGAGAAATAACGGTTGACACAGAAAACATTTATTTTAATTACAACGGGACATCAGGTCTTGGGGAGAGCCAGGGAAGCCGGTTTGGAAGCCAATCGTTTTCCGAAAAGGCTATCTCCGGTTGAGGTAGCAGCACCGAATGCACCGAACCCTAAAGATGGAAGCTGTGGTCCTGTAGTTTGGCCAGAAACAGAAAGTGCAGGTGTGGCGGAGGACGCCGAAGTGGTTAACGTACCAAAACCAAATAATGCTTTTGGCTGTGTGGTTGTTCCGCTGCTAGCAGCATTGAAGGAGAAAATCGAACCCGTTGATGTAGTTTGTGACGGAGCACCGGGAACAGAAGCTATCAAAGGATTTGTCACTGTTAGGAAGGAAAAAGTGGAACAAATTTAAGCTTTGGGTTGAATGAACTAAGTGAGTGTGAGCGAGCGAGCAAGTGTTGGTGAATGAATAGCTTTTGTCCGTGGCCCATCATCAGCTGAAGCAAAAAGCGGTATCTGCTTCTATTTGTGCCTGTGAATCCACAGGCCAGAATTAACATGCCAAGTTTTACCCTTGAGGTGAGTGTGACATTTCATCTGGGCTAAACTGTGTTTTCTCGAATATGAAATGTGATAAAACCATCCGACACACAGTCCATCATTGACATGAGGAATGACGGCTTACTGATTGGAGTAGATACAACCATCTTTAGTTCACATAAATGTAAGCTGAAGAGATAGGTCTCCTGTTTGGATAGCAGATGATTCAAATGGAGACGAGTGGGACATCAACAGAAGACTATGCAAAATGGCTTTGTGACACTAAATCTCAGATCCACAACGCACACTACGAAAGAAGCTAATGGGCAGGATGTAAAAATTTCAGTACATAATACAAACCATGTCTATGCCAAAACACCGTAATTACTGACACTATCGCGGGATAACTCGATGGGGTCCAATGAAGTACAAACTCAACACAGAAAGCAATGGCGGGGCGGTAAAATTTAAATCCCGTTATAACAACAAGTTAATGAATTCCATTCCGATACAGTATCCCAAAAGATCTATTACAGCCACTTTAACGGAATCTCTTACTTTGTAGTATGTCTGGTGTGAACGAAACGAGCCGCGTATTCACGTGACAATAAGCACATGCCATGTGCTGGATAGTTTTCGAGAGGGCGCTCCCATCAGTTATTGAAGCGATAAGGTGTTTAATATAGATTCTTTACTGAACATGGTGTAAATACAACCGCGTCCAAATATCATCCGTTCAGGTACATCAAGACCGAGGTTTACCCAACCTGCACAATTATCATCGCATGGGCCGCTTTCGCTACCAAAGCGGTCTTTTCGGGCAGGACTAGCTGGTGTAACTGAAGCCAGTCCATACTGTACTATAGAACTGTTTCACCCCTGGTACAAATCATCAGCAGTGTGCATCCGACCAAAATCCAAAGTCTAGAACCCGCGACCCACTGGCTAGCTGTTTGAACACATAAGTCTTCAGTTTCAAGCGGCTGAGCTGCATGGTGTCTAACTCGCAATAGGGTGGGCTATAGCGTCACTCACTTTTCAACCACGGAAACTACATCAGGTGGTCACGCTATAGCTGACTGCTCTGGTAACGACTTCTCAGATAAAAGTTTCTCCCTTCTTGTGAAATTATTCTCCATCCAAGCCACTTGTTGGCTTCCGGTAGTGTGTGGAGGATATGTCATTTTCATTTGAGTTTCCATCCTAAAAGTGAAGCCACTTTATGCTGAAAAGCTTCGAAGCACTATTTTGGAACTGTTTGAATCACTTCGGGGTATGGTAAGGTTGATGACTCCTACCAAGGATGACACAGGTTGGTTGGGCTTGTTCGTGGACAAAATCATTCTTTGAAAAGAGGGACAAGGGACCTATACTTGGGTGGGATTGACTCATCCTAAAATGAGCTATCACGATGCCGAAAAAATGAATACATTGTGAAACTCACGTGATTTTGTGACGGACGTTCCTAGCCCAAATCCCAAACCAACCGAGCTCGACGGTAGAGTAGACGGTGTTAAAAACGATAGTGAGGTGGCTTGTGGAATGACTGTGGATGGATTTGGTTGTGTACCCAAAGCTGTTAGTGGGAACATGGGGCTAATGGACAGGGATGTGAACGGCGAAGGACCATAGGGTGTTTTACTCGTGGGCTTCCTCAAACCAGGCACACCGTTATCCATAATCCCATCAAGCTGGCGAAGCTTCAGACTGGATGCCTCCACCTCCGCGAAAGGGTTACGGGTATCACCACTTAACGCACGTATGTTGCGCAAGTACCGTGCTTTCAAAACCTGGAATAAAGGAAACAGGATAAATGGTCTAACTGAAATAGTAGTGCGAAAGACGACACTTCGCTGGTTATTGTGTCTAGGTTTGATAAACAGTTCAGATGATGACTAGTAGAACAGTACTCAATAAAAGAATCCGATGATTGATGATTCCGACACGGAGTGAAACTGGAGTGTGACAAAATAAGCGACAACTTATACAGAAAAACCGTGCACTAAGGGCGAGGGATTACAAGATATAGGTTTCGCACTTGAGTCTTTCGAGTAAACAGAAGACGACAAAAGCAACAGATGCGTCCAGAATGAGTTAACGAGAGATTTTCAAATCGTCGATACATGTATCAAGCTCATGCTCCAAGTATCGGGATGAGAAATGGCTGAAAAAACGTCGCCAGGCCCACTTAGCCCACACATACAAAGTATCTGACAAAATAAAATGGGATTTTCGAAAGAAAATAAACTACAATTAATCTCCCAAACTACGAAACAAAAACTGATCGATTAACCTTGACTCACACAGCAACTCTCATGTCTTGTCTTTTGGAATACCTTCTATAGATTTCATATGAGTCGACAATCTACATAGCTCCTAAACAGATAACATAATACCAACATGAAAAAAACACTTATTGGGTACATTGACCGATATTTCTGGTCTGCACACGAACAGAATTAGTCGAGTATTCACAAAAAAAATCGGGTGATTGGCGCTCGTTTGGCGAGATGGCTCAAATCAAATAGTATGCACCGTGAGTGTAGATGAGCAAGGTAGTTAATATGGAGTACTACTGGGAGCTAAATGACCACATTCTTAGGGGGATATCATTATATAAAACAGGAATATTCACACAACCAATCTGCCGTTACTTTTTATTCGCTGTTCCTTGGGCCCTTCGATTGGGTGTTCCGGGTTAGCTGCCACTGCCATGTAGCTGAATGTAATCTAACGATGGCTTTTTTACCTTTAGCTAGTGGATATGTATGTCTACATTCACGGACCGGAACTGAATGAAACGAACCTAAATCATCGGCAGCAAAGCAGTCTGATACTCTTGGACTATCGGGACAATCGACGCGCAATTACCTTGAGAACAAAATCCACTTGATAACCGTTTTGGAAGCAAAGTTAGTAGCCCATGATTATGTAGGACTTGCTCGCAACAAATCTTAGGGAAGAGCTTGAAGATGCAAGAGATCTTGAGGTTTGGAAGGGCGTTCGCGACCAGAATAATCCAGTCCACATTTGAATGACACAAGGGAGTGTTAACTGAGAAACAGGTTACCATCGAAAACTCCTTCAGAAAACAGTACACGAAAGGTTCTGTTCCTTTAGTACTTTTCGACGACTCAGGAGAATGAGATCGGGCTTCAAAGAGACTTCAAAAAATACACAGTATATTCACGGGTAGTTTCTGATCATCACCGTACCTGTTAGTATTGATTCCCTAGCATCAATCAGGACCAGCGATCTCGATGATATCCACCGGTCAGTCGATCGTATCGGAGAAGTTTAACAGACAGCACTAAATGCCGCTAGCATGTTCCAACTTTTACTATACTTCAACCATGTGCTCACTACCAGTATAGTATTGGTTTACTGTAAAGAGTTGTTGAGCTAGCTCATATCGATGGTACTTCTTGGAAGATAGATTGCTTCTTGCTGACATGCGAGGGCCTGGAGGGGAACGAACGGTTGGGCGTGCATGAACCATGGCGTGGTCGGAATCAATTTATGTGCTTTAGAAGTAACGGCAGTCTTGAATTGTAGCTCTTCACCGGTGGCTGATGGCCACTTGATCCAAGTAGATCCAAGTGGCCGCCACGTTACGCGATGCGAAAGTTCACGCTCAAAGTTCGTACTGGCCAGAAACAATTCATGATCAGCACACAACTGGATAGCTAAGTGGTTGGAACGTGAACTTATTGACCATAAGGTCCGTAGTTCGAACCCAACCTCTGCGTCTCGACTTCTCCTGTTTAGGCTCGGGCACTCTGGCAGTATCTCAGCCTTCATGCTTCCTTCGGGTGGCATGGCAGCTAGGTAGAGAAATTGTGTTACAGTTGCACGATTACGATTACACGACTGAATCAGTCGCTGTCCGTTGCCCGTGCGAATCGATTGCTCAAATGTGACTCCCAGGACCTCAGACGACCGACCTTGGCATTCATATCACCCGAAAGGATCACAATGTCAGTGCTTCTTGCTGGATGAATGAGCCCGGATAACTCTCGATAGATAGTATCCTCTTCCTCATCAGAACTGGAGTTCGTTGGGTCATAAACCGACAGTACAAAGAGGCACCACTTTTGGTGTCGAGAGGTATTGGGTTTGACTGCGCTGGATAACCGGACGGCGCAAAGACGACTGTCCAAAAAGATCCGATTAAGCATAGGGCGTTCAGCTCTGCAGATGGGTGCGAATCCCACCCCACATATTTCACGAGTCATCGCTTCTGGATCACTGGGCACACGGAGGGAGAAAGGCGAAAGAGTTGGGTTTGTCCTTGGCGTGCTGAGATGCACAACTGCGTCTGGGTCTTGCATGCATGTTTTGGAGACACAGCAGACATCAATTTTAAAGGAGTATAAGGTCTCAGCGAGCATGCCCGTTTGCCAATTTGACAGTGTAGGGAGGTTAAAAGGATCTCGTGGACTTAGGTGTTATTTTGTTTATTTTTAATACGCAGCGGGGATCATAAGTCTCACAGGTCAGACAGCTGACGGCCAAGGGACACGGTAACGTCTGTTTGTGTGGTGGGAAGGGATTGAGGAGGACATCGGTAGACACAGAACTGGGCGGGCAACTTCCCAGTTACGCATGCCGAGGAAGGGGTTTTGTTTGAGGCACCTCACCTTGAGCTTTTGACTCAGAAGTCTGATTCGTAAGGCATTGGAAGATTCAGATTGGTGACCCTGCCCCTAGTCTTGTACTCAATAGTCTGACCCACTTAGCTGCAGGGGGCGGGCCTCGTCCCAGGACGCCTGTGGTTGCGCACAGCAGGCGTCTTTTGAACAACAGTGGACTCTTTGGTTTAAAAGGTATTTCGACTGTATTGAATAATGCGCCGATGGTCATGGTCAACGGTTGTGTGATCGAAGTGTGCGTTTTTAGTGCGGACCTTTTCGAACTGGTCCTTCCTTGGGAGAAGGCAGAATCGCCGTTTCCATGAATATGGACACGCCGGTCGCCTTGGGTAACCACCTTACTGCCTTCACACTCCTATCACAGAGAACCATATAACCACCTTACTGCCTTCACACTCCTATCAGAGAGAACCATACGACTCCAGACTGCCATCTAATACGATTATTCACAGTACGAATCTTCGCTTTTCTTCGTCGGGCTGCTCCTCCCTGGCCTTTCTGGCATGCTTGAACGTTTGTGAACTGATTTCCAGCTGGTGTAGCCCACAGGATCATTGCAGCACGCAAGCCCGACCATCACGACAAGGTGACTGCTTTAGACTGAGCCGTGCAACTCAGAAGATAAAGTTTGCTAAGGTCGATATAAGAGCAATAAAAATGTCAGCTGTGAGCGGCTAGTAGGTTTGAACCTTAACCGCTGTATCATCTCGGGACTGGGAGTGACTGCAACGCATTTATGGCTCAGGATTCCTTCAAAGGGCTCCCCATAAAGCTGAATCAGATAGCCGCTTAGGTCTACACGTCTGTATGAGGTTCAGCCATAAAGGAAAAGTTGTACAAACAATTGTAGCAAGTGGACAATAAGACATCGAGACGGGACAGCTTGGTAGTAGCGGATGAATGGAACGATAACACATCATCATTATCACTAGAGTCAGCAACATCAGTGTTAACACAGATGCTCCACTGCCGTACAACCACAGTTTATCTAATTATCGTGCGAATCGATTGCTCAAATGTGACTCCCAGGACCTCAGACGACCGACCTTGGCATTCATATCACCCGAAAGGATCACAATGTCAGTGCTTCTTGCTGGATGAATGAGCCCGGATAACTCTCGATAGATAGTATCCTCTTCCTCATCAGAACTGGAGTTCGTTGGGTCATAAACCGACAGTACAAAGAGGCACCACTTTTGGTGTCGAGAGGTATTGGGTTTGACTGCGCTGGATAACCGGACGGCGCAAAGACGACTGTCCAAAAAGATCCGATTAAGCATAGGGCGTTCAGCTCTGCAGATGGGTGCGAATCCCACCCCACATATTTCACGAGTCATCGCTTCTGGATCACTGGGCACACGGAGGGAGAAAGGCGAAAGAGTTGGGTTTGTCCTTGGCGTGCTGAGATGCACAACTGCGTCTGGGTCTTGCATGCATGTTTTGGAGACACAGCAGACATCAATTTTAAAGGAGTATAAGGTCTCAGCGAGCATGCCCGTTTGCCAATTTGACAGTGTAGGGAGGTTAAAAGGATCTCGTGGACTTAGGTGTTATTTTGTTTATTTTTAATACGCAGCGGGGATCATAAGTCTCACAGGTCAGACAACTGACGGCCAAGGGACACGGTAACGTCTGTTTGTGTGGTGGGAAGGGATTGAGGAGGACATCGGTAGACATAGAACTGGGCGGGCAACTTCCCAGTTACGCATGCCGAGGAAGGGGTTTTGTTTGAGGCACCTCACCTTGAGCTTTTGACTCAGAAGTCTGATTCGTAAGGCATTGGAAGATTCAGATTGGTGACCCTGCCCCTAGTCTTGTACTCAATAGTCTGACCCACTTAGCTGCAGGGGGCGGGCCTCGTCCCAGGACGCCTGTGGTTGCGCACAGCAGGCGTCTTTTGAACAACAGTGGACTCTTTGGTTTAAAAGGTATTTCGACTGTATTGAATAATGCGCCGATGGTCATGGTCAACGGTTGTGTGATCGAAGTGTGCGTTTTTAGTGCGGACCTTTTCGAACTGGTCCTTCCTTGGGAGAAGGCAGAATCGCCGTTTCCATGAATATGGACACGCCGGTCGCCTTGGGTAACCACCTTACTGCCTTCACACTCCTATCACAGAGAACCATATGACTCCAGACTGCCATCTAATACGATTATTCACATAACGAAACTTCGCTTTTCTTCGTCGGGCTGCTCCTCCCTGGCCTTTCTGGCATGCTTGAACGTTTGTGAACTGATTTCCAGTGGTGTAGCCCCACAGGATCATTGCAGCACGCAAGCCCGACCATCACGACAAGGTGACTGCTTTAGACTGAGCCGTGCAACTCAGAAGATAAAGTTTGCTAAGGTCGATATAAGAGCAATAAAAATGTCAGCTGTGAGCGGCTAGTAGGTTTGAACCTTAACCGCTGTATCATCTCGGGACTGGGAGTGACTGCAACGCATTTATGGCTCAGGATTCCTTCAAAGGGCTCCCCATAAAGCTGAATCAGATAGCCGCTTAGGTCTACACGTCTGTATGAGGTTCAGCCATAAAGGAAAAGTTGTACAAACAATTGTAGCAAGTGGACAATAAGACATCGAGACGGGACAGCTTGGTAGTAGCGGATGAATGGAACGATAACACATCATCATTATCACTAGAGTCAGCAACATCAGTGTTAACACAGATGCTCCACTGCCGTACAACCACAGTTTATCTAATTATATTTAGAGCATTAGGGTGAAAAGAAGAAAGAGTGGATGAGGAAGGAAACCTGGTGCTGGTCTATCGCAAGAATTCTGAGGTGTCTACACTTCTAAGCGCTTAGTAAGACAATCGCAAAAGAAACAGCACGAAGAAAGAGTGGATGAGGAAGGAAACCTGGTGCTGGTCTATCGCAAGAATTCTGAGGTGTCTACACTTCTAAGCGCTTAGTAAGACAATCGCAAAAGAAACCGACAGCACGAAAGCCACTGAGATCGACCAGTTGCCATTTCTTGCACGCACCCAGTCAAGCGCCGTACAGGCTACGAGGACCCTATCCAGGAAGGCGTACAGCACCAACAACACCCAAACTCTTCGTAATCTCTTTCACACCTTTCTGCCATACGTCGCCTGCCTCATGGTTTCCAGACGACAACACATGCCACATGATTGGGCGGTTTGCGACAAGCGTCAATGGGCGTCGTCAGGTTTGTGGCTGTTGTGGGGGTGCGGATTTTGAAAACGCATATATTTGTCCGAGCCTGGATTCAAATCCATTACGATGTTACATGAGAGACGTGTCCTCCATCTGGCCGCCTGGAAAACCAGCAGACACTTTCAGATGCCGCAAACCCTAAGCTGGATGCAAACAGCCACATACATTCGGACAGCCAGGTGGTTCAGGCAGCTTTTAAACAACCGTACTACAATCCCCTGTGAACAAGTCCACGCTATGTGCAACGAAATCGCAGAAAGAATATTTAGAAGAACTGTTTCTCCATCGTAAAAGGCGACTGTAGTCCCACCAGATCGGCTGATTTTCGTGCACCTCAGCAGAAAGCCATCATACCTCTGATAGACATTGTATCATACTGGTTGGATATGGTATCAGACATGGAATCCACTTGGATCGCTGGTGATTTAGGTAGGCCTTTTCACCTTGTACCTGAGACTTTGGGGAAGTTTCAACCAAGCAGTACTTGTTGGACGGCGCAAATAGAAATTCACAACGACTACGGGAAGACGAAACGATGGGCAGAATATCCCAAACAACTGCTAAGCCAATCGTCCACCCAAACTCTGCACCCTGAGACAGATCTAGACCCAATGCCATATGACATCAGCTGTGAAAAGCCAAGCGCATCGGACAACGCTGTGATTAGCAAAAATGAAAAGCTGGTGAGGTCTAAAATTCCTGCACCTCATCACCTTTGAAACCACCGAACGAGCTGTTTTATCCAATCCAGAGATTCGAGTATCTTAATATTAATACGGATCCCCAAAAGGCGACAGAATACATTACCGCGGTACCAGCTTCACTGATATTGGTGGAAAAATTCGTGACCATTCTGGTACAACGCTCTCCCAGAACACGAGATACATGTACAAAGCCAAATCAAGCATTCCGTCATGGCAAAAGTCGTGTGAATCACGCGTCCTCCTTGCAACGAACATCAGAACATAGTTTCAAATTCCCACAGTCTACTATACCATGCTTCACTGACTTCGGAGTACTCCAGAGTCGGCGTGGATCTTCGTTGACGGTGTTCCTGCGTAAAGCGTATTATGGTCTGGTCGCCCACCCTAACACACAAAATGTCCCGCCCGGCACCCATTGTTACCAAACTTTTCCGAGAAGTGATTAAGGTTTGTTACTCATCATCATCAATCAATCAGTGAAAGCTCGCGCCTGGATATATGGTGAGGAAACCGAAGTTCAGCATCGAGACCGGCGTACGACAAGGTCATCCAACTTCGCTGGTACCCTCCGAATTCGTTGTCGATCTGTTATTTGAACGGGCACTGGCGTGCAGTTGGGTACCCAGGCCTGGACTTGGAAGGCGCTGATGACAAGTTTCTGTTCTATGATTACTCCGAATACCTCTAGCTCACACCGCAGCGTCCGTAAGACGAGAAGCCAACACGTCCAAGACCGACTCGCCCTTCTCTTGCATGGACTTGTCCATTGAGACTTTCAACATCAGGGGAAATAGGCGAGCAGGATACCGACTTCCATCACCTTACCCAACTAGGGGATTAGAAAGGAAACTCGACTACGCATCGATAGTGCCCGACATATTTCCATACAGCTGAACACCGTCGAGTGAAAAGGAATTATGATTAGTTTCAGCATAATTCGGGACTCTACAGCTGAACACCGTCGAGTGAAAAGGAACTATGATTAGTTTCAGCATGACAATTCGGGACTTTAAAGCGGTCACGTCTTCTGCACTAATTTGTGCCTGCGAAACACGGTCTCTACAAGCATAGAATATGCGACGGTTACAAGATATTGACTGCTGATGCTAGTGTGAGTTTGTTTTCTGGTAGGTTCCAATGGCAGAACGCAGAAATGTCGCGACCTACCACAATAGCATCAAATCCATCAAAAACGAGGTTCATAGTATTCATAAAGGAAACTACCCACAAGGTTGCTGAAAAACTTCCACAGCCCAAGATCGGTTTCGCCCTTCTTGGGCTCATCAGGTTAGGCGAAGTCCCCGAGTTTCCGTCAACCTTATGTTCGCGTATTGTTGAAACTATTCCATGCTGAAATTGTCAAATAAACCTTGATCTCTACGTCCTATCCACTTTGGTGGATCAGCAAGGTCACAAACGACATGGGACAACTCGGCCTCCAGTAGCCTACGGATTCCGTCAGTGGACCGAGATTTGTGCGGATCTGACAATCAACTGCCATACCGAAATTTTTCTGAGGCTGACCAAACATATCCTACGAGAAAACGGTCCAAAAGTAGAAAATAAAGTTTTACACTTACAGAGTGTGAAACCCTACGAAGAGCTGCCCCTCAGGATGAGTCTTTAAAGAAGGGGTTCCTGTATACTGCCAAGTCGTCTGCACCTAGGAAAAGACGACTTGAGTGTCATAAACAATCTCCGTCAATAACCAATACCTTAAACACTGTGCTGACTAAATAGTGAGTTACTTCGGACTAGAAAGAGAAGTATAAAAGACAACATAATAATCAATAATCATCCAGCTGTAACATCCTTTCGGTGCCTAGCTGCCATGCCACCCAAAGGAAGCTCGAGGGCTGGGATAATGCCAGGTTGACCAAACCTAGAGAGGGAGAGTCGAGAGGCGTAGGTCAGGTTAGACCCATGGATCTTCCGGTCAGTAAATTCGCGCTATAATTACTTGAGCCATAACATAGAAGTAAGTGATTCCCAAACCATTCAGCTGTACGTTACGATTCTTCAATTTATCTATTAGGTGGGCTGCCTCGAATTCAGGCCTCTTTCGCTGAAAAGGATCTCATAAAACGGACAATGGTATGGCAATAAAAATAACTAACCTTTAGTTGTTCATAAGTTGTGTGTAATTGTGCCGCAAGACAAATAAATTCATTATCCATCTGACGCAATAAAGCAACAAGCTCTGCGGGCAACAATGAGAACAGCCTTGTGGAGTACCTTTCGGGGACAGACATGGACGTGTCTGAGAATTTATGCCACTTTCCAGAACCTCCAGCTCTTGTTTGTAAGATCGAACTCGTGTGTCAAACTCGAGAAGTTTGTTAAGAAAGTATCTTCAAAGAAAAAGAAATAAAATGCTTCGCTTTAAAACTTACTCAGTGATCGCAATGTTTTCCATTTGTAAGCTGACGCCTATTTCGGAATTGCGTTGGGCAATACCAATATGTTTTTCTTCCTACCACCAAACAGTTAACTTCTTCAGAAAGAGGTTACTTTCAAAACCTCCCCCTTCAGTATATCGTGTTGTGCAACTATGCGTCTTAGTCCAGATATCACCGCTGAAACCTGCTGCACCATTGAGGTCACATCATCTTTCAATCGAAGTAAAGGTTGCTGAGACAAGTTGATTAGTTCCTCTCGAGTTTTCTTCTGTTCTGTGAGAAAGTGCCTGAGTGCTTTGTGAGCAGCATGTATTGAAGAATTACTTAAACTGCTCCACCGATGCGATAATCTCCTGGCATACCGGTAAGTCCTTCGACTGAGGTGCATGGCTGGTAAAAGTGGTATAAAACGGTTAGTTCGTCAAACCTGTATTTAGTTCCCAAAGTGGGACCACCCAAACCCGTAATGTTCATTACACTGCAAGGCACAAAGATTTGTAGCAGTGTGGAATATCAATTCACCAATCCGCACTATCTGAAATATAAATGTTTGGCATTAAGAGGACGAACAGAACTCAAGGGACCAACCGGTACAAGAGGACTATCTGTGGTGCGGATTGGGTGGGCATACAGAAAGAAAACGTTGTGCACTGACCCACAATGTCAGGTTGCTAGAATGAGGAAAACTATAGTTTGTTGGACGAGTATGACAGAAAATCACTCAAACTAAATGCAGATAGGAAAAAGCTGCATTGAGCTACGCTGGGGTTTTCTATTACACTTCATGAAGCTCTCATACCAGGTTAGTCAATCGTTAGAAGTCAACCTAACATTCTCCAGCCTCTTTCAGTTGCGAGTTCGTGTGTTCCTGGCGTCTTCCCCCTTAAAAGTTGGACTCTGGTTGGCCACCAGTGTGTCACAATGATTGTCCCCCCCCCCGCCAGTCATCTTTCGGTATATTGCTTGTAACAAATGAAATGGTTTACTCACATTCCTAGAGCTTCTCGCCAGCGCAGCCTACTCAGCTTTTTAGATACATCAAGCTTTCCTGTCCATGTGGGTGCTATTTTTTTACCTGGATTCTGACAGTTCATCGAGTCCTAATGTACTCTCGACCAAGATAACGTGTCCAAGCTTCAAACAATTTCAAAGTGTTGCTCGAGATTCAGTGGCTGGGTCTGATTGGTTGAACAATCCCACAAGCGGCGCGCCCAAAATCTTGCAGGACTGCGGATACCACTTCTCAGTAAGAGTCCACATCAGAAGGGACTTCAACAGGTGATTTTGGTAGACTTGCTTCACATCATGGCTCGCGATTCTCAATGACCGGGCGGGATATGCGCATCTTGCGCGCTCCAGAAAAGCAAGACTAGAAGTAACCAGCAAGCGTGTGATCAAAATCCATTAGGTCACTGGCTCAGTGGGACCCATTTATGTTGGGACATACCTGTAAATAGGTGTAACAAGTAAACAGTCACATTATCATCGACAGAATGACATCAGTGCTCAACACTGATGCTTTGCTGCCGTACAGCCATGATTTATTTGAAAGCCTTATGATGGAGAAAAGAATAAAGGTAGACAAGGGGCAGAGTTAGTGCTACAATCAATCCTGGGTGTCCGCACCTCCAAACACTCATTCAGGCAATCTAGGTAAAAAAAAATGACAACACGAACGCCAGTGACAATGATTACACATATATTGCAGCGTCTCCAACCAGACGCGGTTGGGGTCAAGCGGTGCCCATCCTCGTGGGCGAGTAGAACCGACAGCACCCAAACTTTTCGTAAGCCCTTTCATACCCCCCGCCAGGTTAAAGGTTGGCCAACTTTCTGCTACCGCCAACCTGAATTGGGTACGGAAAACAGCCCTCGTCAGCAAACGATGGTTCGATATACGCAATACATTGTCTAAACAACACAACTACTGGTGATGGACACGTTCTTCAATGGAAGTACCCGGTGTACAACCGAAAACGCGCCCAATTCTATTTACGGATACGCCGACAGCAACACATAGGAGCTATGGCTGAGGAAACGGTTGCGATCACCTGAAAAGGTCTCAGTTCCGCTCGAACATACCAAGTCTCAGCCCCCATTGTGGCCTAATATACACATCCTTTGAGGTTTAGGAATATACCACTTTCACGCCATATGTATATCAAATTGGAAAACGCGACCCAAGTCTTGCAGAATCGTGCACTGACCTCATCTGTCACACCATAATCACAAATAATACAACTTCCAAGATACGTGAAAACAGGTTATGGGATCCTAATGGATAAAGCCGGGATAGTAACAAAAGGGGATCACGATAACATGAAGAGAGTAGGGACAGTGATTGGGCAGCATCAGCAATTGGTTGAACTTTCGGAGATAATTATCGCCTGCATGTAGCACTGAAATCGGAAGTACATCTCATTCCACATGTCACCGTTTTCACATATTTTTGCGATTCACCTGGCACCTAACCCGTCTGACACGCTCTATTGAGCTATATATTTATCCAACTCAAATAAGTGTACAACTCCATTCGCTTGTTTAAGCGGAAAACCGGAGGCTTCGTGTACGAGACGACCCCCAAAAGGTCCAAAGCTGGTGCTGGATCGTCAGGGATTTCATTAGTTTAATAACGTCACAGCCAATATCGCAAAAAAGAGCTCCAAATGAAACATTTGGAACAGTTGTGCAGCGCAATCCAAATCAAAAGCTAACAATTCCATGTATGTTACAATGATCCTGCGGATTACATTCGCTAGGTTTCCTACCTAAAATGTGCAGGCATGCCAGGAACACCAAAANGATTTATTTGAAACCTTATGATGGAGAAAAGAATAAAGGTAGACAAGGGGCAGAGTTAGTGCTACAATCAATCCTGGGTGTCCGCACCTCCAAACACTCATTCAGGCAATCTAGGTAAAAAAAAATGACAACACGAACGCCAGTGACAATGATTACACATATATTGCAGCGTCTCCAACCAGACGCGGTTGGGGTCAAGCGGTGCCCATCCTCGTGGGCGAGTAGAACCGACAGCACCCAAACTTTTCGTAAGCCCTTTCATACCCCCCGCCAGGTTAAAGGTTGGCCAACTTTCTGCTACCGCCAACCTGAATTGGGTACGGAAAACAGCCCTCGTCAGCAAACGATGGTTCGATATACGCAATACATTGTCTAAACAACACAACTACTGGTGATGGACACGTTCTTAAATGGAAGTACCCGGTGTACAACCGAAAACGCGCCCAATTCTATTTACGGATACGCCGACAGCAACACATAGGAGCTATGGCTGAGGAAACGGTTGCGATCACCTGAAAAGGTCTCAGTTCCGCTCGAACATACCAAGTCTCAGCCCCCATTGTGGCCTAATATACACATCCTTTGAGGTTTAGGAATATACCACTTTCACGCCATATGTATATCAAATTGGAAAACGCGACCCAAGTCTTGCAGAATCGTGCACTGACCTCATCTGTCACACCATAATCACAAATAATACAACTTCCAAGATACGTGAAAACAGGTTATGGGATCCTAATGGATAAAGCCGGGATAGTAACAAAAGGGGATCACGATAACATGAAGAGAGTAGGGACAGTGATTGGGCAGCATCAGCAATTGGTTGAACTTTCGGAGATAATTATCGCCTGCATGTAGCACTGAAATCGGAAGTACATCTCATTCCACATGTCACCGTTTTCACATATTTTTGCGATTCACCTGGCACCTAACCCGTCTGACACGCTCTATTGAGCTATATATTTATCCAACTCAAATAAGTGTACAACTCCATTCGCTTGTTTAAGCGGAAAACCGGAGGCTTCGTGTACGAGACGACCCCCAAAAGGTCCAAAGCTGGTGCTGGATCGTCAGGGACTTCATTAGTTTAATAACGTCACAGCCAATATCGCAAAAAAGAGCTCCAAATGAAACATTTGGAACAGTTGTGCAGCGCAATCCAAATCAAAAGCTAACAATTCCATGTATGTTACAATGATCCTGCGGATTACATTCGCTAGGTTTCCTACCTAAAATGTGCAGGCATGCCAGGAACACCAAAAAGGTAGCAGGCGGAATAGTAGCAAAACCCCATACTAGGGTTAATCGTACCATAAGGCGGTTTTTGGATAAGGTAATACCCTGAAATCGGAGTGCGAAGATAGTTTGGCGTCTTCCTCGGTCTACCACTACATCCATATATGTAGAAGCAGGGATTTTGTCCTCCGAAGCGTGGGTTAGAAACGGTCGGCCCCGAAAACCACACACTCTACCCAACTGTTGACCATGAACACTGGCACTTAAAGGAGGATGCTCGAACACCATAACTTATGACCATGGTGCGCAAAATCCAACTGGCCACTGGAACGTATACACCACAAACTTCTGGACGTCCATTCGTCACACAAGCACTACATGAACGAGAGCATCGTTGTTAATGTGATTGGTCGAGTCTGATACTAACTGGACAAGCTAAAACACACCAGAAGCACACTACGGCGCCAGACGCATTTGCTGACGCATTTGCTAAGCGTAGAACCGGCAGGAATGGGTCGCCTATGCCATACTCCATTGCGCTCTCGCACAAGACCAGACACCTGCATTCGAACACGTCAGACTGTTGAGTCCCGCTGGCAAGCCCGACTGCCCGCTGCTTCACTGACAAGAATTTCTGTCAGAGGCTTGAAACAAGTCCTTCGACAGAAACCGTACATTATCCCACTTCCTTATGGGTCAGATTTTTGTGTCAAAGGTACAGCCCTGTACACGCGTTGGGTGAATCTCTTCCTCCGATTGGGCAACAGCGAAATATCTATTGTCGATAAAACCCTTCGTCTATTTTGTCCATTAGTAAGTGAAGCATTTATAAACCCACATGTTTCCCGTACAGGAGCCTTCAATGTGCGCCAAGCTCTCAGTAAAACCTCGTCTTCAAGAAAAAACAAACGAGCAGCAGCACTAGTGCAAGCAGGCAGCCCCAACTTACCTTAGACGCGGGGCGCCTGATGTACCGCCGCTCGTCGCTGACAGGCTGCTTGATTGTCCAATCGGCGGCTGGCATGCCGGTCGCAAACTCGCCGATTCATGGATTGACACACGGTGCTCGGTATTCGCACAATGGAATTGATTTCGCGAAAGATACAGCATTTTCAGGATCGACACCCCATCGTGTAAAGTGTTTATGTGTATTATGCAATTTGCCTTCATTGGTGAGTTGTTTAAGTTGGCCAGGCTGATCGCGGGCGACTCAGGTGTCCACACAAACAAGAAAGAAGACGCCTGC